GTTTAAGCAAATGAATTTGGGTAGAGTCTAAGACAATAGTGATTCAAGTAGTGACTCGAGTGATGAAGGTGGTAAGAAGAAGGGTAAGAGATGCGACAAGTCTAGTGGTAGACGGTGTTACAGTTGTGGTAAGACTGGACACTTTATTAGGGACTGTCCTAAAACAAAGGATAAGAAGAAGGGTATGATGAGAGATGAGGCGAACATGGTTATAGGGTCGAGTGATGACCCTAATGAGGTTTATTAAGAGTAAACATATTTACTGCATGTGCATCCGTGTGTAATATTTCCTGCACGAGTGTGAATTTTTAATTCTGTTGCATGGTTATATGTGCATTGCAATGTGTTTGATATGTGTATTTGCATGAATTTGAGAGCAACCATTTTACCCCTTATCTATTTTGTCAATTTGAGTCAAACTTTTAATTTCAGGGTTGATTAATAGATTAATGGATGAATTTTGTCCAATAGACTTTGGCTACAGTCAAAGTGAAAAGTTTGGGACTGTAGCAGCAAAAATAAAAGATTCAAGTGTAGTCTGCCGCAAATTGAAAGGTTTGGGATCTTAGTTGCAATTTTCCTAATATTTTAATTATATCATAAATAGAAAGCTTAATCCAATAATTTTTTTCCCCTAATATTCCAATAGAATAATAGTCTTATTATATTATATTTTGTTTCAACGCTGAGATTATTCAGAGAATTTTCTTATTTTAAAGAGAATTTCGACATTGGAAATGAAGTTTGATAAAATCCTAAGCCTTACAAATTTACATTAGGCTCAATTTATCTTTTTCTACTTTATTAAATTTTCGAACCACCAAGATAATACGGTTTGACATGGATCACTGAATGCAATAACATATAAAATGCCATATAACTAAAAAGGAGTTGAAACAAGAAATGTATTGGAACCAATTTTGAACAATGGGAGAAGTGGCAGCGAAGGAAGCAAATATTGTGGATTACTTTGTTTCCGTTAAATAGAAAACAAAGCAGTTGGAAGATAAGTTAATGTATAAGTTTAGAATCTAAGTTTTATAAGAAACATATAGATGATAGTCGTTTGTGTACTGACACTTTAACGAATGAAATTTTTTATCTTGAAAAGTCTCCGGACAGCCATTTAGCAACATCTTGGCACAACGATGTAGAGGACTTAGAGCATGAAGCTAAGCTAAGAACTAAATTAAGCCCTGTTTGGTACATGTTATTTTT